CCATAGCCAGGTCAGCCTTGGTGAGTGGAAGTCCATGTTGCTGAGCCCATGCATAACTTCCATCCCTGCCACTATGGCCACTTTGTTCATGCGCCCATTGGGTGATGACAGGGGTAGCTGGGGAAAGAAGCTGAGTGGTGTCCACAGAATGTGTCATGTTAATCACTTGATTACTAAAATCCTCCTCTGCTGAGGTCACTCATTGGTGAGCACTCACATGGAATACAAATATCTTCACAGCTGTTGACCACTCAGAGAGTTTCATCTATATATCTCTTCCCCAAATTTCTTTGTCACCAATTTTCCAATCATGCTTCTTCCAAGTCCCTGACCATCCAGCCAAACCATTGGCTACAGCCAATGAATCAGTATATAATCACACATCAGGCCATTTGTCCTCCCATGCAAAGTGCACCACCAGGTGCACTGCTCAAAATTCTGCTCACTGGTAAGATTTCCCTTCACTGCTGTCCTTCAGGGATGTCCTAGAAAGGGGTTATAGTGCTGCAGTTGTCCACTTTCAGGTAGTGCCTGCATATCATACAGAACCATCTGTGAACCAGGACCTAGTCATCTCTTCCTCTGTCAACTGATCATAGAGAACTCCCCATGAGGTCATAGGTACAGGCTGGGGGAGAGAAGGCAGGATGGCAGGAGTGGAGGCCGTGGGCGTTTGTGCCACTTCCTCATGTAGCTTACTTGTGCCTTCAGGACCTGCTCTAGCCTGATCACATATATACCACTTCCATTTGATGATGACATGCTGCTGTGTATGATCCATTTTATGGCTAGATGGGTCAGAAAGCACCCAGTTCATGATAGGCAGTTCAGGTCACATGGCGACTTGATGACCTATAATCAAATGTTCAATTTCCACCAAAGTCCAGTAACAGGCCAAGAGCTATCTCTCAAAAGGAGAGTAATTATCTGTAGAAGATGGCAGGGGCTTGCTCCAAAATCCTAGAGGCCTCTAATGTGATTAACCTATGGGGGCCTACCAAAGGCTCCAAACAGCATGCCTATATGCAACTGACACCTCAAGCACCATTGGATATGGGGGGTCATATGGCCCAAGTGGCAGAGTAGCTTGCACAGCAGCCTGGGCCCGTTGCAGAGCCTTCTCCTGTTCTGGACCCCACTCAAAACTGTCAGTCTTTCAGGTCATTCAGTATATGGGCCAGACTAACACACCAATTGAGGAATGTGTTACCTCCAAAATCCAAATAAGCCCACTAGTCATTGTGCCTCTTTCTTGGTTGTAGGAGGAGTCAAATGCAGCAACTTATCCTTCACCTTAGAAGGAATATCTTGACAGGCCCCACACCACTGGACCCGTAGAAATTTTACTGAGGTAGAAGGTCCCTGAATTTTAGTAGGATTTTTTTCCCATCTTCTAGCATGCAAATGTCTCACCAATAAGTCCAGTGTGTTTGCTACTTCTAAATCTAGGTCTCACTGGATCTAATCAGCATAATGTCATCAATGTAATGGACCAGTGTGATACTCTGTGGAAGTGAAAAGCAATCAAGGTCCCTCTGAGTAAGATTATGACACAAAGCTGGAGAGTTGATATACCCCTGAGGTAGGACAGTAAAGGTATACTGCTGTCCCTGCCAGATGAAGGCAAATTGCTTCTGATGGGTCTTATGGACAGGAATGGAGAAAAAGGCATTTGCCAAGTCAAGTCAATGGCTGCATACCAGGTACCAGGGGATGTGTTAATTTGATCAAGCAATGAAGCCACATCTGGTATAACAGCTGCAATTAGAGTTGCCACTTGATTAACCTCACAATAATCCACTGTCATTCTCCAAGATCCGTCTGTCTTCTGCACAGGCCAAATAGGAGAGTCAAAAAGGGATGTGGTGGAAATCACCACCCTTGTGTCTTTCAAGTCCTTCATGGTGGCACTAATCTCCTCAATCCCTCCAGCAATGCGATATTGTTTTTGATTTACTATTTTTCTAGGTAGAGGCAGCTCTAATGACTTCCATTTGGCCTTTCCCACCATAATATCCTTCACCCTACCAGTCAGGGAGCCAACGTGGGGATTCTGCCCACTGCTAAATATGTCTATGCCAATTATGCATTTTGGCACTGGGGAAATGACCAGGAACCACTGGACCCACTGTAAGTCAGACATGAGCTAAAACTCCATTAATTACCTGACCTCAATAACTGGTGGACTACAATGACATTTTGGGTCACCTGGAATCAATGTCAGCTCAGAGCCAGTGTCTAGTAGTCCCCAAAATGTCTGATCATTTCCCTTTTCTCAATGCACAGTTACCCAGATAAAAGGCCAGATGTTTTCTTAGGGAAGGATGGAAGAAAGATTAACAGCATAAATTGTACATAATATAGTGGTGTTCTTCCCCAAGGTGACCTGGCCTCCCTTTTATTCAAGAGGTTCTGAGTCTGTAAACTGGCTCAAATCTGGAAATTGAGGGGCCATGATTCTGTTTTTATGATTCAAATGTATTTTGTCCATTTGGCCTAGAAGTTTTCTGCTTATATAAATTAAGTAGGAATACAGTAGGCTTCCTATCAGTTTCACTTCTAGGAACACTATGATTAATTAACCAATGCCAGAGGTCTACATGAGTCAGACTATTCTGATTGCTGCTTTGCCTCTGCTGTCCATTACGATAGCTATGCCCACCTTGCCTTTGATGGTTGAGTGCCACCACTTGGCCCATACCACCTCAGGATCCAATTATTCCCATTGTATTTAAGTTTTGCAGTTGAGTGACTGTGGTTTCCACTGTTAGATCTGACATACAGAGAAGAGCAATTACAGGGCTTTTCAAAGATGCAGGTGCTGCCCTCACAAATCTATTTTGCAAGGCATTGGTCAAGGGTATATCTTCTAGACCTCCCAGCTGGGATGAGTAGGTCTAAAGTGACTAATCCACTCCACCATCCTAATCTCCCTAAGCCTTTGGATCCCTTCCTCTACAGTAAACCAAGGGAGATCAGGCATTTCCAGCTCACTCACAGTGGGCATCTTGTATCCATATTTTAGCTAGCCAAGCAAATAAACCATTAGAACCTTTTATAACTCCCCAAGCTACAACATTAAATGCAGAGTCCCTAATTAGTGGGCCCAAATCAATAAATTCAGTCTGACCCAACTCTATCTTCCTTCCACCATTATCCCACACTCTTAATATCTACTCCCATGCCTGTTCTCCAGATTTCTGTTTATATTAATTAGAGAATTCAAGCAGTTCTTCTCAAGTATAGCACACCTCCTCATGAGTCATACTCAACCTTACCTCTAGGGGCCTGCCAGGACTTTAGTTATAGGTGTAGAAGCAAACAGGGGTGTTGGGAGTGGCTCCTGAGGAGAATCAACATGATCTTGCCTGGCAACTGCCTCAGGGGAGGCTATCACCATTGCCTCAGGCAGTGCAGGGTTTATCTTCTTAGACAAAGGTGGAAAGGCTGATGGCAGCATGGGTTGGAGAGGGGATGTTGCCAATACTGGGGATAGAGAAGTTGTTTCTTCTGGGAGAAAAAGTTTCATCAGAGTTTACAAACTCTGTGTCCACAGTTTCATCAGAGTCCTCCCACAGGTCCCCATTCCAAGTTGCAGGGTCCTATTCTTTTCCAATCAATGCCCTCACTTTAACAGTAGACACCTGGTGAGGCTTTGCATACACCTTTCCTTGCAGGTGACCCATTTGCATGATAAGAGTTTGTGTATGTATTGCCACAATTTCAGCTCTTTTTCAACAGAAAATAAGTTTCTCAAAACAATCTTAGTAGATTTGAAACTCAGAATCTGCTTCTGAAGCTAGGAGTTAGAATTCCTGAGTTGATCATTTTGTTTCATCACTTTTCCACTGAACTTAGGAGCAACGAACTAACTTCATTATGTTTCTTGGTTCTCCATTTATGGTCAAAGGTATTATATATAGAGTCACTAAACTCCTTGCCTCTCATGAGTGATGAATCAGGAGCATCAAATGCATTTATTTTACATAACTCCCTAAACAGTTCATGCCAAGGATTATGAGTGTTCTCCATACTATTAGAAGTAGAGTCCTTAGCATTTTGGAATTTAATATTAAGCAGCCAACTCCAGAAACCCCAAAACCAATGAAAGAACTCCATCCTTAATATTCTGTCCCTCTAGAACCACTCCTGGTACCAAAATCTATATTAGTCAGGGTTCACTAGACGGACAGAACTAACAAGATAGGTACATATAAAGTGTACTTTATTAAGTATTATCTCACATGATCACAAGGTCCCACAATAGGCCGTCTACAAGCTGAGGAGCAAAGAGAGACAATCTCAGTTCCAAAACTGAAGAATTTGGAGTCTGATGTTTGAGGGCAGGAAGCATCCAGCACTGGAGAAAGGTGTAGGCTGAGAGTTTAGGCCAGTGTAGTCTTTTCACGTTTATCTGATTGCTTTATATTCTAGCCACACTAGCAGCTGATTCAATGGTGCCCACTCAGATTAAGGGTGGGTCTGCCTTTCCCAGCCAGTGACTCAAATGTTACTCTCCTTTGGCAACACCCTCACAGACATGTCCAGGATCAATACTTTGCATCCTTCAATCCAATCAAGTTGACACTCAGTATTAATCATCACAGTTATCCAGGCATATTTACTTGATTCCCTAAACAGAATGGAAATTAGCATATGTTAACAGTTCTTGGTTTCTCATTTTCTAAATTAAAACAAGTCTGAAATGAATGAAATGAACAGTATGGTAAACTTAGCTTTAGCTAATTTTACTTAATTAACTTTATTTTCTATTTCCTATGAATGGTTTAACAACTCTTAGAAAACAGAAGAATATGCAAATGTTAGCTTTGAGTCTAACTGCTTTTCCACATCGTAAAGGTTGATGTATTTTGAATGAAATTGGAATCACACCTCCAAGTAGAAATAAAAATGCCCAAGTTGATTCACTCTTGAGTGTAGAAGACAAAGTTCATAACTGCCTGTGAGTCTGTAATGAGAATATCAATGCTCTTTTACAGCTTTTGCCAGCAAGAGAAGCTTCCAATGACCTTCCAGTCCTGTGTGATCACCAAAGAGTGCCAGGTTTCTGAGTGGTCAGAGTGGAGCCCCTGCTCAAAAACATGCCACGACATGGTGTCCCCTGCAGGCACGCGTGTAAGAACACGAACCATCAGGCAGTTTCCCATTGGCAGTGAAAAGGAGTGTCCAGAACTGGAGGAAAAAGAACCCTGTTTGTCTCAAGGAGATGGAGTTGCCCCCTGTGCCACGTGAGTAAAGAAAGAAGGGTACAGTGTCTGCCCAAACGACATTTGCTCAGCTCTTTGATTTTGACTGAACAGTATTCTGAGCAACAGTAATTTTTACACACACAAAAATATATCTTTACAAACAGTATCCTTAAACAAAAATGATTTTACAGAGTAAAAGTGTCTCTGACAAGCTAAATCTCCATGAAATTTTTAGCACCCATTCTATGTTTATGTATTTTCTATAACAGGAGTTGCCAAAATTTTTCTGTAAAGGAGTAGAGAGTTAAAACATTAAGCTTTGCTGGCCACACATGTCTCTATTGCAATGATTCAACACTGCTATTGGAGCTAGAGGTAATATGTAAACAACTGAGTGTGGCTGTGTTCCATTAAAATTTTATTTAGATATATAAAAAAAAGTGGCAGGTTGATTTGATCTTGGGCCACAGTTTGTCAACCTCCATTTCACAAGGTAAAATAAACTTTCTAAATATAGATTATCATTAGCTATTAAAATTCAGTACTTTGTATAACAAATCCTGTTCAATAGAGCAAAATACTACATCAAAATAATGAGACTTTAAGTTCCATGAGGACAAAGACTGTGCTTACTAATATTAGGAAAGGGGTTGGGTTTTTTGCTTGTTTGCTTTTTGTTTAATTACTAGCATATATCACAGTACCTGGTACAAAATAAGTGTTCAATAAATATTCGTTGAATTCAGATTAAATAAGACACATTCTGAAACATTTGGCAGTATGACAGTATTAAAATATAATTTCCAAGTTATTATTGTGAATTATTTTGGTAATAGCAATATTTCAGCTTAATCTGTATATAGGATATTTATAAAGCAACTTATATTAGTTTTTCAATAGAGATGTGTGAACTTCATTGAGAGCATCTCTGGATTCTTCCAAACATTTAAAGAACATGCATATAGCTAGATCTTTATGAACCAGTGGGGAGGCAAATTACTACTACTACTATTCCTATAACAACAACAAAAGTAATGTTTTATACCAGATATATAATTCTGTAGCACTTTGGACTCATCCGTTGTGCTCTAGTGTAAAAAGTGACTGAACCTCCACAGAGAATTTCCTCCCCAATGTCTCTGCCTATCCCACTGATTGTTCTGGTTCCTTTCCACATAATAGGCTCAAGGAAGTTGCCAGGATTTCCTGTGTTTTCTCTCCTATGAGTTTCTTCTATTTTTGTTGCAAGCTAGGTGCTTTATTCTTTTTCTTCTCAGATATTCAAACACAATTAACAAAATAAATATATATCCTTCAGGATCTTTCTCCATGCCCTTTTTTTGGGGTAACATTTTTCACAGAATGTGTAACCAATTTACATTATTGAAAGACTATTCCTCTCATTGGACTTTTTGGCGGGACCTAAATCAGAACTTCAATTTATTTAAAATGCTTATTGCAACTCCCTTAACAAATGGTCTATTTGGTTTTGCTTCCTTCCCCTTCAATCCCCAAACCAGGCATCAATTATCTGTGTTTCTAGAATTGACCTGAGTGCTGCACTTCCTTTATAAATTAATGTCAGGTGTTGTTTCTTCATGACCCAGTCCCACAATTCGTTAAGCAACAAATACCCACTTATAAAATTTAAAAACAGGCATGAAGTTCATCTTTACTGTCACAAAACCTTACCATTGACAGAGTGAAGAATCCAGATTAGACATCTGAGGGCCGTTTAACCTTCTGCCTGATTCAGATGAATATTAGCACATCCATTTGCACCTATGTTGGCTGTTCATCTGATTACTAAGGAAACATCTTGGTTAAAGTGACACAAAGTGCTACATGAGTCATTTTCTTTGTGCTTTTACAATATCCATTTTCCTTGAGATGGAGAAATGCCATCACTTCCTATCTTCGGTGGCGTCGGGAAAGGTTTCCCTAGCTATCTCCTTCAATCACATGTTGGACTGACAATCCCCTGACATTTCTCTCACATCATAATCTTGATTGGAGCTTTAATTGAGCATCAAAGATCTTCTTTCCTGTGCTCCACTGATGAGAAGTGCCAGCTCTTTGCATCATGCATCAGTACTCATTAGGAATGCTCAGTGCCACCAAAAAAAAAAAAAAAAAAAAAAAAATTCTTACTCTTGACAATAAAGAGAAAACTCTGATTTATTCTCTTATAATTTTTAACCCTAATACACAATTATAATTTTGCTACACTGTACAGTTTTCATTTATTTTATAAAAGGCAAAGCAAATGTTTTGGTTCATCATCACTCAGAACGTTTCCCATTTTCATATTCAATCCTCCTTTGTTTATAGGCAACAAGAAAGGGCAAGCCTGGGTTCAGCTTAATTGAACATAAAATTTCATGTTTTCAGCAGTATGCTCCGTTTTCATAAAATATTTATAAGTAACTTCCAGTAATTGCAATTAAAACAGGATCACCCTAAATTTAACCCCTCATTAAATGGAGCACTGCAGAGCATAAAGAAGGAATTGAAACCAAATATGCACCATACATGTAATCTATGATGGATTCGCTAGGAAAATGCTTTTGAGACTAATTTTCATTAAAAGAAAGTATGACAGGAGTAGAGAAACATGTCATTCAGTAATTATGGTTGCTGCTGGTGGTGTTTTCTTTATTTAGGTATGGCTGGAGAACTACAGAGTGGACTGAGTGCCGTGTGGACCCTTTGCTCAGTCAGCAGGACAAGAGACGCGGCAACCAGACGGCCCTCTGTGGCGGGGGCATCCAGACCCGAGAGGTGTACTGCGTGCAGGCCAATGAAAACCTCCTCTCACAGTTAAATACCCACAAGAACAAAGAAGGTAACCTTTGCTTTCTTCTCAAGAATTCACTTATAAAGACTGACTGAGCATGTGATGGCTCTGAAGGGATATATACACAGCCATCCGGGGCATGAGAACTGCATTTCTGTTCACATTGTGGTTGGTATTCACTATGGAAAACAGGTAATCCACATTATGGTTGTGAAAATATTTAGTACAACTCCATCTTTGATCAGTTCTGGTTTACTGACAAGTTTCTTTAAAATTTTGACAAAGGCCTTCTTGACTCAACCTCTGCCTCAAACTTTAGAAACAATAATTTAAAACTAGAATAAAAATTTATTTGTAAATATACACAGATCATGCAAATATATATTCTAAATTCCAAAATTATATAAGAAGTAAAACCTGCTTGTCAAAAAAAAATCTTATTTGGAAAAAAATGTGGTTAAAAATAAGTTAATTATGATACTGAATAAAATTGTCAATTTTGGTTTAAATAAGTACAGAATAGAAACTACAGTAAAAGAAATCTTTAACCCAAAGGCACTTTTTAAAACTCTTCAATTGTTTGACAGGTATATCTTTTTTTTTAATTATATCTGTTTCAGGACCAGATGTATTAAGTGTACAAAAGAATAAGTGAATCCAATATAGCCCAAGCTAAAACTATATATTTTAGATATTAATTAATATGATTCTAAAATTATCATAATTATTGGATCAAGTGTATATTGAATGAGTAGATCTTAAGTTCACATACAAATATGAACATTTTTAAGCAGTACTGTCAGCAGTCTTTATCCTCCTGTCTGAGGAATAGCAGGACTTCTTTCACTGGCACATTGAACGTATATCAACACATACAATTTGTTTAAGAGAGTGAGGATAGAAATACCAATACAGATTGCATGTCATGAAAGTCCTCAAAGTCATCAGGAGAGCATGTAGACAAACAAGTAATTAAAATGCCATATGTATGCCATACAACCAAGATTCAGAAAGAGCGTAAGGGAGTAGTAGAAACAGAGCCCTTTATGGAGGGGGTGGCACTTGAGCTGAGTGATGACAGAGATACTACTTACAGGGAAGCATGGCAAGAGTGCAAGAGGGAGTTCCCTTCAGGCAAGGGAACAGTGTGTATTAAAGCACAACGCTAAAGAAAAACAAAAACAAAGGACAAATCTCACCAATAAAGATGAGCGAGTTGTATTTGGCGGGTTGTGGAGAGGGGCGGGGAGGAGAGGAGACGAGAGGACAGGATTGGATTTCCTAGAAAATACCTTGGTAGAAAAAGAACAAGGATAAAGGACCTCTTTGATATCACTAAATGAAACACCAAAAAAGGAGAATATTTTGGGAAGGAATATGAGCAAAAATGATCAGAAAATATGATAAACAACCAAGAGAAATGAATGTTTTAAAAACCAAAGAAGAGATGGCTTCTCTGCCCCTCCCAAAAAGGACTGACACCAGTGACCAGTAATTCATAGAAGATAAAAACTGAAGTTTTGCAGCTGCAACTTTCAAAATTTAATTGTTCTGTATCCACTAACTTTACACAGCATGTCAACTCATTTAGGAGTCTAGCCGAGGGATACATTTTACTACTAATGTATCTTGAGGTTATAAGGAAGTAGCATAAAACATGTAATGTTAGTACATTAATATTTTCTTGGCCACTTTAATGGCTGCATTTTAACATTCTTAAGTAGATTTATGATAGCAGTCTTTCCAAGGTAGTATAATTTCATTGCTAGAGGTAGATCAGATTTTAGTTTTGGAATGTCAATTATGTCCTGTAGGTTATTACTTTCCAAAGATCCTTCGGAATTCTGAATTGCAACTGGGTATTTTTTTAAAGCATTTTCTTTTAGAGCTCCCCCCCTCCGACCACTGCTAAACCACTGCAGACACCAAAAAAGTCACAGATAAAGAAGGAAAACTGAAAGAATATCATTATTTAGATGTAGTTGTTAGACTAAAGCAAATGCCAAAGCAAAGGTCAATAGATATGGAAGTAATTAATTCACCTAAAATTAATATTTATCATGTAAATATGTAACATGAATAATTTAGGAATGTGTGTCCTTTCATATCATATGCCAAGAATACTAATGAACTTCTTAAAGTCTTTGCACAAACAGTTGATTCTCCCTAAAAATGTAGCATTTATTCCACCAAATTTAGACTCTGTTAGTTTCTCTCTGGGAGCACTTAACATTTCCCAATAGGAAACATATTCAGTATATCGGTATCGCAGGGGTGACATGCGAAGTCTATAAATATGTGTGAATGGAGAACAATTAGACTGTGGGCTTGAAGATTATTCACACTCTATGTTCAGTCATGTTCATATGAAAGAATGAAAGCTTATCTTACGAAAGAGAGAAATCCCTCAAAACAACTCCCCCAGCTAATAAGAAGACAGTCATTTCAAGAATCCAAGACTGTGTAACCATGAACAACCTGTACTACGAACAACTCAGTTTTACTTAAGGAACAATCTACACTGTTCTTTTTGCAGATTCACACCCTGTGTTCTCTAGATGACTTGTTTTCACATATAACCAAGATGTGAAAAAGACCCTAACACAAAATAAAATACTTTAACTCAAAAATAAAATTTCTTAGTACAAAAAATACTGAAAGCAAGTGATATGAAATTTATGTAAACTTCCTTTATTAACTTGGTGCGTTGTGTTACACAGGGGAATGGTAATGACTACCTTAGCACAAAGGCAGAAAGCATTAATGACTTTACTCATTGGTATATTCCCTACTACTAAGTGACCCACACCATAAGGGACAGAAAAATTCTTATCCTTGGAGTTAATATATTTAATTTCCAAAATAATAAAATGTATCATATTAAAGTACTCACAAGGTCTTTAGTATAATATTCACAATTTGGTATGCTGTTTGTGTCAGTGGAATTATATCATCAGAACATATCCTAAATTGGAGATAGCACCTGTAAACAATAGGAAAAAATATATCTAACTGACATTAGACAATGTCTATAGTTTATTATTGTACTGCTCTTAGCTGTAGGTAACCCTCCCAATCCTGACAACAATCCCCCCGCAATATTCAGGTGAGCAGAATTTCTACTATATCATTTCCGTAGGAGAAAGGCTCCACAAGTTCCCTACTGAGAATGTCAGTAGTAAAACCCTTGACAGTTTTTGTTCAGCCAGCTGATCAGATTTCCAGTAGGCTGTGAAGAATATCCAGCTTATGCTGGTGTGAAATCTACCCTTATCAGAACATGACAGGAAGAGATCTTGCCTGTGGGGAGGTTTTCTGCATGAGTCCTAGAGAGCTGATGAACATGTTGCTGATCATTGGATGCGTGGAAGTAAATTGATTCTTTTTAGAGTTCAAAGTAAAATGAAAGTAGATTTTACCTACAGTAACTCAAGAAATTCTTCCATTTAGTACAGATTGAACATGTTTTTAAATGAGAGAAACTAAAAGTATTGGCTATAAGGCACCATTAAGCTTACAGTGACTTATAGGAAACTTAAGAGCATTACTCTGTAGAAAACACATTAAAAATCCACACTAAAATCTAGATATTGTCTGTGGGATTGAGGGTTATTAGGAAAGACAGCCTGGATAATAAGCCTGTATGATGACACAGAATGAGATATAGCAGCAGAAAGGATTAGAGAAT